AAATGAAGGAATGAGTGTCACTTAGTTATCTCCAGAAAAAGAAAAGAAAGAGAAGGCAGGGGAGAGAGAGGGGAGAAAGAAGTTTAGAAGAATAATACTACTGATCATAAGCACTAGTTTTTGATGCTTTCATAACATTTATTATCTGATATGATGCAAACAAAAACTACAAAATGTTTTATTTTCTTCATTCAGTCAGTCAACAAATGTTTATTCATTACCTACTGTGTGTATGCATGGTGTTTTGCACTTGGGATACTACATGAGCAAAATCACACATTGTCCCTGATCACATGGAATCAAGATATCAGTTAAGCTATTTATCAAGTTATATTCAAAATTTATAAACATCGTCATTGCAGTAACTGTTAAATGATGATATACATGGTAAAGAAACTATTAGGAAAGATGGTTGAGTTAATATCAAGAGAAAGTCACTCTAAAGGTCCGAAAGGATGATTGAGCTGAGAATTAAGGATTAAACATGTGGGAGTGATTACGCATTACAGGGAAAGAGATGAAGGGAGGTATTGCAGGAAAAGAGTGACACGTACAGAGATCTTGGTGAAGGCTGGAACCTGGGACCTTTTTTATTCTCTAGAAGAGTTTGTATAACATTGGTATTATTTTTTTCCTCAAATATTTGTAAGAATTCATTGGTGAAGCCTATGGGCATAGGGTATCTTCATGAGATGGATTTTAAATATGGATTTAATGCTAATAGATTTGGGAGTATTCAGGATTTTTACTTTCTCTTGCATTGTTTTTCATAAACTGTGTTTTCTAAGAAGCCTGTAAGTCTCTTTTAAATTTTTTTATTTAACAAATTTTAATTTGTTGACATGAAGTAGTTTATATTTTTATGATCTTTTTAATATCTGTGGGATATATTAATATGCTTTTTTTCATTCCTGCATTCAATAATTTTGTCTTCTCTATTTTTAATCCATATTCCTAAGAGTTTAACAATCTTACTAGTCATTAAAATGCTTTTGGGTCTGTTGATATTTTCTATCATGTTTGTTTTTATTATCTGCTCTATGAATTATCTATTTCTATTGTCCATTGTTTCTTTTATCTTTTAAGCATATTTCCTCTTTTTGTTCTATTTATTTTTGATTAGCAATATATATATAAATTATATATATAAATTTAGATCTCAGGTGACATTATCTTCTTTCTCTGAAGAGGGTTTATGCTCATTTCTGACTAGTAGCTTGGTTCACTAGCTATCCCAGATCACATTAATCTAATTTTAAGAATTGACTTTATATTAGCACAGGTATATTTCAAGCTTATCCTTACTCCTGTGTTGCAAGAGAGTCCCAAGACAAAGTGTAATGATCAACCAGATTCTTCTTCACTTTTCCCCTAACTCTGTAGCATTGTCACAAATGTTCCTTGGATTTTTTACCTCTAACCTGCCTCTTGCAGAATTCATAGATCCCTAGTGGAGCAGAAGCTCCAAATATTGGATTTGTCTCTCTGGATTTGCCTTTCTTTCCCAAGTCCTAAGCTCTTAGTTTTTCTCTGCCTTTTTATCTCTGATGCCTTGAAGATTTTTTTTTCTAATTTTGTTCATCTTTTTACAGATGAAAAGTTGGATTAATTTCCTCATCTATCATGACCGGAAGTGAAAGTTCTAAGGTCTATTTTTTTCTTCCCAACTGTTTATTTAAAAACGACACTTTTTAGAATGAGATTCAGTCATTGGCAACAACATGGATGGAACTGGAGCACATGTTAAGTGAAATAAGCCAGACACAAAGAAAGAAATATCACATGTTCTCACTTATCTAAAAATCAAAACATTTGAACCCATGGAGATAGAGAACAGAAGGATGATTACCAGAGGCTAGGAAAGGTAGTACAGGAGTTGTGGGGGAGTAGGAGGGAGGTGGAGATGGTTAATGGTTACAAAAAAATTGAATAAATAAGACCTAGTATTTGATAGCAGAACAGTCAATAATAATTTAATTGTACATTTAGAAATAAGCAAGAGTAAAACTGGATTATTTGTAACACAAAGGATAAATGTGTGAGGGAGTGGATACCCTATCTTCCATGATGTGGTTATTACGCTCTGCATGCCTGTACCAAAACATCTCATGTACCCCATAAATACATATACCTACTATGAACCCACAATGTTTTAATTGACCCTTTTAAGTTGATTATTTATCTTGGTATTCTATGGTATGCTTCTCCTGTCATCAATTATTATCAGAATAGTTCTACTTTACAAATAATTTCAAATTCGTTACCATTAAAACTTCTTGCTTCAAGCCTTTATCAAATCATGAATAGAATGTAAGTTCCATGAAGGCAAGGAATTTGATTCAGTAACGTTTAATCAGCACTTTCAACGGTGCTTGGCACTTAATAAGCTCTCAACAAATATGTTTGCAATTGAGTAAACAACAAAAATTGAGTTGGATCTTTGGCATCCAAGTGGAGGGTCAGGAATTCTTTGTTCATTTGCTATGTAATGATTGATTTTCTTATTTCTTTTTCAAATATATGATTGGATTTAGCTTGAAGACAATCTATAAGGAGAACTTACATGGTGTGTTATATAGAGTAAGATTTCCTTATTTATTTTGTTTTGACCTTTGGATCTTCCTTTCAGTATATGATTCAAATAACTTGCCGTATCTTGAGAATTTACATGGACAATAAATTGGTGAAGAGAGAAGAACTGAATACACATCATAGAGAGACTATATGTATTTTACAAACATGTAGTCCAGTCTAAATATATACATCTAGTTATAATGTGGTTCTGTGCACTCTTTCTTGTTAGGACACTGATGACTTTCTTAGCTAGGAGTGATATAATGTGTCAGGCCTGGTTCAGTCTGTGTCTTCTCTCATTGCTTTAATCTGTGCCTTTGGCCCATGTACTGGCCTCAGAATCTCATCATGGTCCAAACTCGTCTGGTCAGTTCCATTAATAGCAGTCAGGTACAATTGCTGATAAGCCTTAAGTAGAAAATTTTTTTCTTGGTCTAATATTGCTTCAAAGTTATAAGTTTTCTGTCTTGGAAACATATGGTTCAATGTTTACATTTTAAACTCCACTGCTGTTCCTATGTGCAATACAGAGTCAGCTTAAAATTCACACAGCTTTCTTGTAGCAGTCCCACTCAATACAAGGTCTCGGCTCTAGTGTGAGGGTGAGGGATTGAGGGTGCTTCATTTATTTAGGCAGAAAACCTAAATGCGGAATGCTGTACTCCTTAATAGTGTACAGCTGACAAAAAAAAAAAGTTTTGAAGGTACAAATGATATCATTATTTTTGTAAAGTGTTTTGGAAAATCAAATAACATATCCACTAATCAAAAGCTCTTTATTTCATAGTTGTTTTTTCTATCCCAGTACAATGTACTCCCTCCAATTACACTCTCTTGGGTTTAGATTTGGGTTAGTTGGTTAGTTGAGGAATTTTGCTATTCACTATTTCTTTCCCACCTTGAGCTATTCAGGCACTGGGAATGTAAATGAAACTTCAGCTCACTGTGTATGATTTCACATGTTTTGTTCAGCTTGAACTCTAACTACATAACTGCAATAGTTATGTCACAGCTATGGGACTGGGTTTCCTGAGCCCTTGTTGCCAATGATTCTACCTGTTATGACCAAATTCATCATATTTTTGTGTTTTTTGTTGTTGTTGTTGTAAACAGTGCCAACCTGTTTACCAAATGTATAAAACTTGGTAAAATCAGTTGTTTCACAGTCAGAATTCATGCTAAGGTTAAAAAAAAAAAAAAAAAAAAAAAAAAAAAAAAACCTGCTAGGAAAGATACAGCAGTAATTAGAGATTCTCAAGAGCAACACTTACGTTCTAAGTGGATTTACATTTGTTCCCCTTGGCCAAAGACTGGGGCTTTGGTGTAATATAGTAGGCTGGATCTTTTGATTTTTTTACCCCACTTGATTTTTGAGAAGAGCAAGAGTGTTTCTAGCCAATCATGGTGCTATCAGCATCAGGTGATCTCTGGCCAGGGCCTCTGTGCATGTAGCATGTATGGTATAGTATAATAGAAGCAGGTTAAGATCATGGTTCAGAACCCAGGCACTGGCAGTAATGTTGGGTTCAGACCCGTCCTCTTCTTATTCAACTTTTGGAAGTAATTTACCTAATGTCCCCAGGCTCATTTTTATCATTGGTAAAATGGATGTAATAGTAGTTCCTAACTCTTGGAGTCAGTGATATAATTAAATGAGATCACCTGTATTAAGCACTTAGCACAGTGTCTGGCCCATAGCGAGTTCTGAATATACATTAGTACTCTTTCTATAGGAAATCCTCTTTATAAAATTGTAGATTCATTTTAAATGACTTAAACACAAATGGTTATAGTATCCAGGAACCTGCTTAGTTCAGATTTTAAGTATTTTTAGCTGAAAATCTTTGTTGTGCTCAAAGAACATGTTATAGTGCTACTTCTTGTTTCATCACATGAATACAATTTCTGTGCTCTGCTGCAATAGACTGACTTCTTTGTCTGCCTACTCTGCCTGCCTGGGATATGTGAACTATGCCAAGCCTTCTTACCTATGAATACTTCCTCACACTGCTCCCCTACATTTCTCTCCCACAACATATTTGTGACTGTTATCATAATACTTACAGACATTTTCCTCTTTTTCTTCCCTTTCAATAAGAATTCTTAATTGTGCAGACTCAGGATTGAGAGTGACCGACATGCCTAAACACACACACATTCATTCACGATCACATAATTCATGCAGTCTTTTCCAAAGCATGAAGGGCCTAAGCCTTCTTATAAATGTAAGATCGATCAAAAAATTTTTGAAGATTCAAATAGTAATCTCATTCATTTTATAAATTTTTTTGGAGACAAAAGGGAGTATTATGTGGGGTTTTCTTTTATCCTATTGGGCGGGCAGCTGGCCATTGAAGAGCCATTCATTGCTTAGTCCCGACACTGCCTTTCCCCATTGGCTCTCTGTAAGAGTCACATGCTTTGTGCGTCCTTGAAAAGAATCTTCTCAGGCCTCAGCATCTTATCTGAGTCTCCTGAATCCCACTTAGAACTGTGTTGAGCTCTCACCCATCACGATGAGCAACAAATTCCTGGGCACCTGGAAACTTGTCTCGAGTGAGAACTTTGACGATTACATGAAAGCTCTGGGTAAGAAATGCTTTTTGTTGTTCTGCTGAAAAGCTCCTTTTTAAGAAAGCTACATGACATTTTCATCTAACACCTTTAACAGGAGACGGGGGGGTTTGCACAGGCCGCAGTAATTCCTCTTTTAGGATTAATCTTTTTTGTGTCATTCAGACAATTTATTTGAATTTTATTTGTGGTAACTTTTAATAGACTTTAACTTAAATGAGAGAGCTGCTTAAATGCATGAAACTCCCACTGATTTCAAGGGCAATTTCATACCAAGAGAATTTTGGTTGCAGATCCAGAGGAAAGAAAGCTTAAAAGCATAGTCAACCCATTTTCTGGCTTTTCTGAGAGCTACGTTCATAGCAACTAAAGTGTTCATAAAATAAGGAATTGAATATAATGCAAATCCTAGAAAACCTTAATTTAAAATTTTAATTTTTAGCTAAACTAACAGTTTTTTCTCTCTACCTCTAGGTTGTCCTTTATTACACAATCATGTAGATACAGAGAGTTTGAAAAACAAAAATACTTCCTAAAATACTATGTTCATAGCCTAGGGAAGTTACTGAGAGAAAAAGAACTGGAGTTGTGGCAGTAAACTCAAACTCAATTTCACTATCATCAGACGTTTCTGGAGTTGGAGCAGTGAATGGAGATGGAAAACCGAGTCATTAGTTACAACAACTTTATTTTATACTATTTCTAGAGTATGTCCCATCGATATAAACACAATAGATATGAAGAGTCTTTGGGAATTTTCAGAACTATATGAATATAACAAAGAGTGATGCCAGTGACCTGAGGTTGCTGTGCTTGTCAAAGTGCCTACAGCTTTACTTAACTGTTCAGAAAGCTTGTATAAAATGTTCTATTTTAGATAAAATGAGCAAAGTCATGTCATTGTTGCCTGGAACACTAGGATGAATTCATACTGTGAGACCGGTTAGATTTAAAGACTTCACTTTACAGCTGAGGAAGAAGCCAAATAAAAGAAAGTGTCCGTGAAAGATTCTCTAATTTCATTGTTTTCCAGTTTAGTGTGCAAAATAACACCTTGGGATTTGGTAAATATAAATTCTCAGGCTCGGTCCCAGAGATTACGATTTAACTTGAAAAACATTGTCCTAAACTGTATAAAATAACAAAAGATTAATCAGAATTTGAAGAAAGAATATAGTTTATAGTTTATTGGCTACAACTCTTAACTTCTTATTCAGTATATAAAAATTTGAGATCGTTTTAACCGGAAAAAGTATATCCAAGCATTGAGACTTCCTGGAAAACTAGTTTTTCTTTCATATTTTTCTATTTGACGTTTTCCTTTTTCCATCTATTTTATAGTCTTGGTAATAATGGTAGTAAACTTAAGAGTCTAATTGTGTTTCATTTTTGAAATGTAGAAGAGTTTTTAAAAAAAAATTTTATCTCTCTATGATCATTTATAATAGTATAGATCTCAAAGGTAGATGGATAGTTGTTTTCCTACCAGCTAGATAGAGAAGTCACAAAATTTCAGAAGTGAGATTCTATCAAAAATATGAGGGGAATACTTCTCCATATCCATAATATGGTATTGAGGGAAAATATCATGGAACAATATGTATATGCTATAGTCTCATTTAAAAAATATATCTATAGTATTTGTACATGCAAACTAAAATCTCTAAAGTGATTTATGCAAATCTATAATTAGTAATTTTCAATGGGGAATAGGATTGGATGTGATAAAAATAGATGACTTGCACTAGCTATTTCAGCTGGAAACTTTAACTCTTGAAAATCTGCAGACATTGGCCAGGTGCGGTGGCTCACGCCTGTAATCCCAGCCCTTTGGGAGGCCGAGGCAGGCAGATCACGAGGTCAGGAGATCAAGATCATCCTGGCTAACACGGTGAAACCCTGTCTCTACTAAAAAATACAAAAAATTAGCAGGGCATGGTGGCGGGCACCTGTAGTCCCAGCTACTCGGGAGGCTGAGGCAGGAGAATGGAGTGAACCCGGGAGGCAGAGCTTGCAGTGAGCCGAGATGCACCACTGCACTCCAACCTGGGCCACAGAGTGAGACTCCATCTTAAAAAAAAAAGAAAAAGAAAAGAAAAGAAAATCTGCAGACATTACTTTTGGAACAGCAAAACCTAAAACATGTGAGTCCTGGGCATGTATTTCCATTGGGAGTGAAACATGGGAGGAGACACTTAGTAGTAAGTGATATTACCTGCCATCGACACACCTGGGGCACCACTGAGCAAAGGATGTGGCCACCACAGCCTGTTTGGCTATGCTCTCTTGGTCACCATAATTCTAACACTATCTTAATTTTCAGGTGTGGGGTTAGCCACCAGAAAACTGGGAAATTTGGCCAAACCCACTGTGATCATCAGCAAGAAAGGAGATATTATAACTATACGAACTGAAAGCACCTTTAAGAATACAGAGATCTCCTTCAAGCTAGGCCAGGAATTTGAAGAAACCACAGCTGACAATAGAAAGGCCAAGGTAATCTTTAATGTTTCTCTTCAAACTTGACCCAGTGGGCTGCTTGAGAGAGAGGAATATTCCTGCCAGTGCTTAAAAGGATAAACTCCATTCTGTTGAAAAGCAGTGTATCTCCTAAGACATCTATTATGAAAATGGTTCAGTACTGAAAGAACTGCTTCTTTGATCAACAAATTTCAGGCAAGTCAATTGCATGACCTTGTCTTTGCAGAGCATCGTAACCCTGCAGAGAGGATCACTGAATCAAGTGCAGAGATGGGATGGCAAAGAGACAACCATAAAGAGAAAGCTGGTGAATGGGAAAATGGTAGTGGTAAGAGTATTTTTACTTCTAAATAGAGAAATAATGCTATATAAATAATTTGATTATATTATTTTCAAAACATTATTTGTTCTTTGGAATATGAATGGATAAAAATGACTAAGAATAAAGTAATAGTTGATGCTTAAGTGATATTTAAACTATTACAGACTCATCTTCAAGTACTGACCCAAGATTTTAGAAATAAAATAGGCCATTTGTTATTTTACAAATAAAAATACCTAAAAATGGTAGTAAGGTTAGAGAAAGTGTAGGTAAATCTTACCAGTTTGGACTCACAAAGAAGAAGGCAAGTCTAAATTTTAAAAGCAAAATACACTCTGCAAGGTGTATTTTGTAGACTATTTGTAAAGTCATTTGTAGACTATTTGCAGATATCCCACCATTTTTCATTCAAGAGCCAATACTAACTTAGAATCAATCATGTCAATAAAGCAAGCTGAGCTCATTGGAGACTTCTAGTTGGCAGATGAAAATAATGACAAAGGTTTTATGTGATGACCTTTGACCATTTTTTTAAGGGTTAAGGCTTTATGTTCACTAATTAACACATACATTGAATGTAAACAGATTCATGTACTCTTCCGGATGTTTCTTTCTTTAGTACAGTGGTTCTTACCCCTTGCTGCACAACAGATTTACATGGGGAGTAAATACCAATATGGAGGCCCCCAAACAGATAACTGAATGTACATCTCTTGGGGGAGGAGAAGCCATCACTATATTTAAATGTTCCCCAGGTAACACAAATATGTAGATATTTTTTAAAATCACTGTATTATTAGATTTAAATGCAAGTGAATTATACATAAAAACTTGCCACTTAAAAAAATTCCTTTACAGTGCCATAGATCAACTTCTAAATTGTTTCTTCTATTTCAATGGTCATAATTCTGAATTACTGGAGACTGACAAACTGATATTTTATTCCTTTCTAAACTAATCTTATGAATTTATTTTGAATTTCTATTTTTATTACACATTTTCTGTTCTCTGGTTTGAAATTGAGATACTCAATTAACCTCTCTCTTTTTTAAGGAATGTAAAATGAAGGGCGTGGTGTGCACCAGAATCTATGAGAAGGTCTGAAAAATTGTTTCCTCATTGAAGTGGCTTTCGATCATTTAATGATGGAAATCAATTGCTTCCATTGACAAAACCTGAATACACTGCAAATGTTTGTTTTTGCTTTTGTCTTAATATATCAGATAGGCAAAGGCCTAAACTGAGAACTAATCTAGAAGTCAGTGTTATTTAAACAGTTTTAATGTGCATGCATGTTATTACTACATTAAAGCATATATATTGGCCAGACACGATCAGTTGATGATGTCATTCAACTAACTTTGTATACTTGAAATTATAATAAAAAGGGTATAATTTGTTAGTAAAAGGAAATCAAGGTATTGATCATAGTAGCAAACTCAAATGCTGACAGGGGCTGGGGAGTTATGGGGAAGGAGCATCAGAAATGAGGCAAGCTAGGAGAATGAGCTATTTTAATGTAAAGAATTGTAGTCTCAGCTAAAAGGGGTAGCCTCTACTCCAGCCAACATTTTAAAATTAATGGATAATTTATAGACAGTTAAATGCACAGATATTAAATATAGAGTTCAGTCCACTGTGACAAATGCATGCACCCATATAACTCACATCCCAAACAAGATACAAAACATTTTCTTAATCCTAGTACATTTTTTTCTGCCCCTTCCCAATCAGTGTCCTTTTCTGTTCCATCCCTACCAAAAGCAAGTAGTGGTTTGGTTTCTATCACATAGATTCATTTTGTCCGTTCATATAAAGGGAATTACACATCATTGATTCTTTTTTGTTTGCCTTTTTAAAATTCACCATAATGTATTTGAGATACATCCATATTGTTGCATGCAGCTGTAGTTTGTTTCTTTTTATTACCAAGTACTATTTCATTGTATGAATATATCACAGTTTATCCATTCTACTATTAAGACAATTGGGCTATTTCTAATTTTTGGCTGCTATGAATAAAGCTGCTACAAACATTTTTGTACAAGAGTTTTTGTAAACATAGGAGTTCCTTTATTTTAAATAAATAACTAGTCATATAATCACTAGGTCCAGTAATTTGTGACAGGCAGGAATGGGGGACAATTCATTGTGCCCAAGTAATAATAAAACTATTTCAGATGTATTATATGATTGAGCAAATGAGAAAACATGTTGATGTTGATGTTGATGTTGATGGGAGTCAGGATGTCCACTGTGGAAAAATGAACATACAAATATGAAATGAGGGAAGGCAAGAAAGAACCATGTGGAAATGGAATAGAATTGATATAAATTCATAATTTCTAAACCATGTATATGTACATTTATATGTATTATAATTGCATACACATGCCTGCATGCATATATGTGTGTGATATTAGACATGCATCTATATGTGTGTATATATGTGTGTGTGTGTATACACATGCATATATTTACTAATTCTATCTGCCAAAAGGGCTTAGACACAAAAACACCTCAGCAGAAATGAATACACCTAGCACTCAGATCTTCGTGTCTAATATAATTTGCCACTAAAAGGAACCAGGGCTACCTGGAAAAATGGCTGATTCCAAAGCAAGGGCAAGGTAGAAACAAGATGAGCCTGAAAAATCTTGTTGTGCCAGAAAGTAATGTTCAAAAAAATAATAGGTATACTGCCAAAACATAGAGCCTGCTTGAAGGGGCTCCCATTGGCCAAACTTGAGCCAATTTGAGAGCAAAATAGTTGAGAAAAATAATAAATTATAAACCATTGGGAAAAAATAGAAATCCATGAATCCATACTGATATAATGATACATAATTAATAGATAGGTAGATAGATAGATAACTAATAGAAGATAGATAGATAGATAGATAGATAGATAGATAGATAGATAGATAGATAGACAGACAAATGAGAAGGTGTCTCCTTTACAACAGAATGTCATGGGCCAGCTGGTAAATGTGGATGAAAGGAGTTCTGGAATTGGAAAACCATGATTTTTCAACCATCACAGTAAATATGGCTCAGGCAAGAATTATCAATCAATGCTAAAGCTAGGGGGAAATTTTGATTAGGAGCAGGATATTATTCTGGGCTTAAAGTATCTCCTCACAGATTGCTTGTTAGTTTCTGGGGAAAGAACAGTAACTATGCAACGGAAAAAAAAATGGACAACCTCTTGACTGGGTTATCAAAATTAACCTCACCAATAAACTGTGGATGTTCAACATGTGCCTTCAAATGTGACACACTGGGAAGGAAACAACATCACTTTAACAAAAACAACAGAAAAAGACAGGGGGTTTTGACTGAATTCTTTAAAAATGTCAATATCATAGAAGACAAAGAAAAGTTGTGGAAATGTTTCAGATTAAATTATATTAGAAACACCTGAGAACTAAACATAGTAAGTGATACTAGACTGGATCCTATACTAAAGGTAACATAAATGCTCCAAAGGACAATGTTAGGTCAATTGGCAAATTGGAATATAGACAGTCAATCAGATAACAAGTATACTTTGATTAAGTAAAAGAATATTCCTATTCTTGGAAAATACACAATAAAGTATTTTGAGGTAACGGGCCATAATGTATGCAATGTACTCTCACAAAATTCAGAAACATATATTTGCGTGCATTTGTGTGTGCAACAGTATACACAAACACACATAAAGAGAACAATTGATAAACAAATGAGGTAAAATTTAACAATAATATGATACACATAAATAGAGAAAGAGAACAATTGATAGAGCAAATGAAATAAAATTTAACAATTGAGTAATCTGAGTAAAAAGTATGTGTGTTTTCTTTGAGATAGTCTGATTTTTGCAACTTTTTCTGTAAGTTGGAATTTACTTCCAAACACAATTGAAAAAAAAAAAAAACCTTGCCCTTGGCAACTTCATCTCTTTTTCAGCCTAGAAATGTCTGTGTTAAGTGGTTTTTTGTTTATTGTTGTTGTTTGCTGTTATTATTGTTTTGTCCCCAGGCTCCAACTCAAAAAATAAGAGTTTAAAAATTGCATTGTTATTTTTAGAGATTTGTGATAATACAACTTGTTATAAAATGCATTCCTCAATAAAGATAATTTCTCTATTATGCAAAAATTATGAATGCTTTTTATTTTCATAACAGAAAATGTCAAACTGCACTGATAAGAAGGAAGGCAAAATAATCATTTCAGCTAACAGTATATTTGTTAGATTTGAAAAAGATTTTAAAACAACCATAAGAGGGGAAAAATAAAACAAAACTTGAAGTTTTAGTAAATTTGGGCTGCTTCTACAGCAAAACAAAAATAAACTGAATAGCTAATAAACAACAGAAATTTGTTTCTCACAGTTCTAGAGGCTGGGAAGTCTAAGATCAAGGTGTAGTAGATTAAGTGTCTAGTGAGGCCTGGTTTCCTGGTCCATAGATAGCACGTTCTGGCTGCATCCTCACTTGGTAGAAGGGGAAAATGAGATTTCTTTGGCTTCTTTTATAAGGACCTTAGTCCCATTCATGAGGGCTCTACTCTCATTACCTAATCACCTCCCTACGCCTCTTAATACCATCGACTTGGGAGTTAGGATTTCAGCATATAAATTTAGAGGTACACAAACATTCAGACCATAGTACTTGAGTTCTGTAATATTCAAAAATAGAATCAGAATATAATTTTCATTCTCTAATTCTTTTTTAATATAACACGATGGTTAAGAACACAGTTAGAGGCAGGACTAGCTTGCAGCCCTGCTCCAATGGACAGAGCAGCATTAAGACTTTTGCTTCAAGAACTACCACAGGAACACACCAGGAAAGCTGAGAGAATCCACAGACCCTTTGAAGGAACTGGATCACCACTGCAGGCTCCCTGAGATGCCAAAAAACTGTGAGTCTACTTGCTTTCTCAATGGAGTGGCTCGTGGTCTGGGGAAACTTCTCAGCCCTGGTCACAGGTTTCCTGGAAATACACTTGGTGCTACTGGAAGGCTAAAGGGGGAATGAGGTTGGCCTTTGGGACTGTGGGCTGCATGTGAACAGGGTGAGGCCTGTGACTGACAACTTTCCCCACTTCCTTGGTGACCTGTATGACTCAGCAGAGGCAGCCATAATCTCCCTGGAAATATAACTTCATTGGCCTGGGAATCACACACCCATGCCCCACAGCAGCCACAGCAAGTCCCACCCAAGAAGAGTCTGAGCTCAGACACACCTATCACTATCTACCTGGTGGTCTTTCTCTACCTACCCTGGTAGTCCAAAACAAAGGTCATAATCTTTGAAGAGCTCTATGTCCCCGCCCACCACCTGGGAAACCTGAATCCTTAACCAGGGGTTCCTAGAGCAAGTTTGCATCCTCCCTTTCAAAAGCACCACCTCCTGGCTGGAAGCCAACCAACACAAAACCAGCACAATAAACAAAAACAAAAGCACAGAGTCCACTTTACTTCCTTTCTACCTTCCCCCAGAACAGGTGCTGGTATTCACAACTGCAAGACCTGAAGACAGATCACATCACAGGACTCTTTGCAGACACTCCCTAGTACCAGCCCAGAACCCAGTAGCTCCACTGGGTGGCTAGACCCAGAAGAGCAAAAACAATCACTACAGGTTGCTTCTCAGGAAGCTCCACTTCTAGGGGAAGTGAGGGAACATCACATCAAGGGAGCACCCCCTGGGACAAAAGAATATGCTCATTCCTTCAATCCTAGACCTTCCCTCTGACATAGTCCACCCAAATAAGAGGGAGCCAGAAAAACAATTCTGGTAATATGACAAAACATGTTTCTTTAACATTCTCGAAAGATCATACCAGCTCACCAGCAATGGATTCAAGTCAAGATGAAATCTCTGAATTGCCAGAAAAAGAATTCAGAAGGTCGATTCTTAAGCTAATCAAGGAAGCACAAGAGAAACGTGAAGTCCAACTTAAAGAAATCAAAAACATGATACAGGATATGAAAGGAAAATTCTTCTTTGAAATAGATAGCATAAATTTTAAAAATCACATCTTCTGGAAATAAAGGACACACTTAGAGAAATGCAAAATGCACTGGAAACTCTCAGCAATAGAATCAAACAAGCAGAAGAAAGAAGATCAGAACGTGAAGACAAGGCTTTTGAATTAACCTAATCCATCAAAGACAAAGAAAAAAGAATTTTAAAAAAATGAAAAGAGCCTCCAAGAAGTTTGGGACTAAACCTAAGAATAATTGGTGTTTCCAAGGAAGAAGAGAAACTTTGGAAAACATATTTTGGGAAATAATTGAGGAAAACTTCCCTGGCCTTGCTAGAGATCTAGACATCCACATACAAGAAGCTCAAAGAACATCTGGGAAATTCATCACAAAAAGATAATCACCAGGTTATATAAAGTCAAGGCAAAAAGAATCTTAAGAACTGTGATGCAAAAGCATTAGGTAACTTGTAAAGGAAAACCTATCAGATTAACAGCAGATTTCTCAGCAGAAACCCTATAAGCTAGAAGCAATTGGGGTCCTATTTTTAGTCTCCTTAAACAAAAACAATTATCAGACAAGAATTTTGTATCCAGCAAAACTAAGCTTCATAAATGAAGGAAAGATAACAAT